TGGAGAAGTTGGGCAACAAATATTACGTGGTGACCCCGGGGGACATGAAGAGGGAAGGCTTGAAGGAATTCGCCGTGGTGGCCGGGAAGTCACCGACCACCGTTTCCATCGAGGTCAAAGGCAGGTTTTATTACAGGGGGAAGCGTTACGTCTCCGGATCCACCCTCCAGGTCTTCCTCGAGCCCTACCGCACCTTCCAAGTGCAAAGCAGCGTTGATTTATCCGGCACCAAGATCACGTCGGACAACGCCGTGGCCCTCTTCAGCGGCCACACCTGCGCCAAGGTGCACACGGGCTGCGATTACGTGGTCGAGCAGCTCCTGCCCGTGGCTCAGTGGGGGAAAAGTTACCTCATCCCCCCCAACCCTTTGCAGAGGGACACCAGCTTCGCCTACGCCCTGGCAGACGCCCAAACCTCCATCACCTACAACGCCGGTGGTTCGGCCGCCACCGAGGAGATCGCAGGCGGCGAGGTCCACATCTTCGCCGTGAAACAAAATTCCTTCCTTTACGTGAGCGCTTCGGCGCCGATCCAGGTGGTTTACTTCTTCGCCGGCGCCAAGCAGAGTTCGGTAAATCGAGACCCCTTCCTGGTCAACATCCCGCCCATCTCCACCTACTGCACATCCTACCGGGTCAGCGGCATCTACGGCTTCGAAACCCACGTGATCCTCGTTGCCCCGAAGGCTGACGCCAGCGCCACCACCCTCAACCAGAAGGAGAAGGCAATTTCTTGGCAAACGATCCCCGGCACAGATTTTTCCTGGGCCAGAATCGCCCTGAAAAAATCGGCGGAAATCCAGAGCGTCGAGCACCGCCAGGCGCCCCTCGGCCTCCTGGTCTTCGGCTTCCAGAATTACGCCGGTTACGGCTTCGCCGGTCTTTGTGCCACGCGTAAGTAGGGCCAAGGCGTGGTTGCGTCTTGCCAACGGCCACGTCTTCTCCGCGGTTGCCATTCGTATTTTTTTTTTTAATTTTTTTTTCCCCCCCTTTTTCAGCCGCTTCCGCTCAGCTTCCCTGTGAAGACCCGGACTGCAACGAGTGCAGCGCGCTGCAATCCTCGTGCGTCCCAGAAACCTTCACGACCTGCTGGGCCACCGGGGATCCCCACTACCTCACTTTCGACGGGAAAACCTTTGATTTCATGGGCACGTGCACCTACACCTTGACCAAGACCTGCGATTCGGATCCCAAGCTGCCCGTCTTCAGCGTCGAGGCCAAAAATGAACACAGAGCCAACCCAAAAGTTTCCTGCGTCGGTTCCGTGACCGTCCGTATCTATGACATCGTCATCACTATGGTCAGGGCTGAGAAGGGGATCGTGAGGGTACGTAAAAAAAAAATTAAATATTTTCAAACCCAAAGCAATATTGTGGTATTTAACAATCTGAAGCGTCTTTTCCAACCGAAACGATTCCATGATTTGCCATCGGTGACGCCGCGGCGTGGTCATCTCTTGCAAGGAGACACCTCAAAGCTGAAAAAAAAAAAAATCTTCTTTTTTCCCCCCCCCATGTTTGGTTTTCACGTGTTTGCTTGTTTTTTTTTTTTCTCTTCCAGGTGAACAACCATCACTCCCACCTCCCCATCGCCCTCGCCGAAGGGAAACTCCACCTGCAGCAGAAGGGTAAGTCCCTGCTGCTGGAAACCGACTTCAAGCTGAAGATCTTGTACGACTGGGATAACCGGGTGTTGGTGAAACTCCCGAGCGCTCTCTCCGGCAAGGTGTGCGGGCTGTGCGGCAACAGCAACGGCAACCCCCACGATGATTCCCTGATGCCTGATGGCAACCTGGCGCTGGACGCCGTGGAGCTGGGCCGCAGCTGGAAGGTGGCCGGTGAAAGCCGCAACTGCAGGGACACCTGCGACGGGGCGTGCGGACAGTGCCGATGGGAGGAGGCGGCCAAGTACAAGGCGGACACGTCGTGCGGGATGCTCACCCAACGCCGGGGGCCCTTCGAGAGCTGCCACGCCGCCGTCAACCCCAACATCTACCTGAGGCACTGCGTCAACGACGTCTGCATGAGCAACGGGCTCCACGCCATGCTGTGCAAGGCCCTCGAAGCCTACGCGGACGACTGCCAGGAGGAGGGAGTCACCATTCCGAACTGGAGGGCGCTGGCACGTTGCCGTGAGTAGCTCCCGGTTGGCCAAAAAATGTGGGTGTAATTAAGGGGTGATGGGATGGGAACGAGCGGGAAAGAGGCATGAAAGGGAAATTGCATCAACGGGGACCGTTTGTTTCTCCGCGGTGCTCTTCATCTCCTGAGCAAGGTTGGGGCCGGGTGGTACCGAATTAGGCTGCACAAAGGTGGGTCTGAAAGGGACCCAGGCGTGGTCTGGAAAAGTTTATTATGGCGTCAAGTCCAAACAGAAAGCCCAGGAGGTCCATGGAGACTCCAGAAAGTTCATTTTGAAGGTCCAAGGAGTCCATAGAGAACCCAAAAGTCCGTGTAGATAGTCCAGGAGGTCCATGTAGACTCCAGAAAGTTCATTCAGAAGGTCCAGGGAGTCCATGGAGACTCCAGAAAGTTCATTCAGAAGGTCCAGGGAGCCCATCAAGACCCCAATAGCCCATGTAGATAGTCCAGGTGGTCCTTAACCTCCAGAAAGTTCATTCAGAAGATCCAAGGACTCCATGAAGAATCCAAAAGTCCATGTAGATAGTCCAGGATGTCCATGTAGACTCCAGAAAGTTTGTCCAGAAGGTCCAAGGAGTCCATAGAGACTCCAGAAAGTTCATTCAAAAGGTCCAAGGAGTCCATGGAAACCCCAAAAGTCCATGTAGATAGTCCAGGAGGCCCACGCAGACTCCGGAAAGTTTGTCCAGAAGGTCCAGGGAGTCCATGGAGACTCCAGAAAGTTCATTCAGAAGGTCCAGGGAGTCCGTAGAGAACCCAAAAGCCCATGTAGATAGTCCAGGTGGCCCATAGACTCCAGAAAGTTCATTTGGAAGGTCCAGGGAGCCCATGGAGACCCCAGAAGTCCATGTAGATAGTCCAGGAGATCCACGTAGACTCCATGGAAGTGTTCAGAAGGTCCAGGGAGTCCATGGGACCCCAAAAAAGTGTATGTAGGTAGCCCAGAAGGTCCATGCAGACTCCAGAAAGTTCATTCAGAAGGTCCAGGGAGCCC